GCGGTCTGTGAGTTCGAGCCCCGCGTCGGGCTCTGGGCTGATGGCTCAGAGCCTGGAGCCTGTTTCCGATTCTGTGTCTCCCTCTCTCTCTGCCCCTCCCCCGTTCATGCTCTGTCTCTCTCTGTCCCAAAAATAAATAAATGTTGAAAAAAAAATTAAAAAAAAAAATAAAATGAAGCAACGGTATTAAATGCATAAGTCATGGAGATGAAAACTACAGTATAGGGATTATTGTCAATAATAGTGTAATTGTGACGTATGGTGACAGAGGGTGACCACACTTGTGGTGAACACTGAGTAACGTGTAGCTGAACTGTGTTGCACACCTGAAATTAATATAATATTGTAGGTCAACTAAACTTCAATAATAATTTGTTTAAATGATACAATGGTCCCATATTCAAGAGTAGTTATGAATTTTCTACAAAAACTGGGAATTGTAAGAGGATTGACTTCCTTAAGCACTTGGAAAGAAAGAATTCCTTTGTCTCAAATTCAAAATGCATTGCCACTTACATTACAATCTTCTAGAAAAGAACTACTGAAATAACAAAACTCCAATGTTGCCTTGCACTTAAACTGCCATGATTATACCATGCATCTAAAGGTCCAGTATTTGTGGGACAAGGTGTCCTTGCAAAGATCTTTAGAACAAAACAAAATAGAGAAACTTGAAAGGAGAGACGGTAGAGAAAAATGATACTAAAATGTTTAATGTCAGATTCTAATATTAAAACGTATTTAAATTTAACTTTTTTCAAGTGGATAAGTTGACATAACTTTCTTTTTTGTTTGAAAATTTTTATGACTGAATTTTAAAAGGTAACAGTATGGGAGATTAATTTTAATGTGGAAAACGAAACTTTCATTCTCCTATTATATAGATGAATTCAATTTGTTTTTGAAGTTTTAAAAAAATTACTTCCAGGGTCGCCTGCGTGGCTTAGTCGGTTAAGCGTCTGACTTCGGCTCAGGTCATGATCTCACAGCTGGTCAGTTTAAGCCCCGTGTCAGGCTCTGTGCTGACAGCTCAGAGCCTGGAGCTTGCTTCCAATTCTGTGTCTCCCTCTCTCTGCTCCTCGCCCACTCAGAGTCTCTCTCTCTCTCTCTCTCTCTCAAAACTAAACAAACATTAAAAAAAATTTTTAAATTACTTCCAAATTTCTATTATAAGTGCATATTAACCCAGAGAGGTCACTTATTGTCTCAGAATTCAGTTCCTGCATCAATAAAGTCCCTCCGATTTAGACTAAATATTAAGGGAGATGCAAAGTCCAGTCCCGTGCACCCTATCTAGTCTAAGAGGTCATTCACTCACCTGGGGTTTTGGCAGGCACTCTCGGCAGTGTCTCCATCCCTCGTCACATGGGGGACTTTTCCATCTTTCAAATGTTCCTCTGCTTCCTCTAGGGGGCTGCTTTTGGAAGAGAAGTGTTCAGGTTCTCCAACACACTCTTCTCTCTGATCTGTTTCAATTTGAATTAAAGGTACATCCCTGGCACACAGGGACCACCTGCTGTGGCTTACAGGGACAGACCCATGGCATGAAGACGTTTCCTTTTTAGAATCTAAACCATTGTGGTTTGTAAGAGGAAAAGCTTTGCTCCGAGCTGACACTGGGGGATGCTTGCTTTCGGTAATGGAGTCTTTCCTCGGGTTATCGATGGACTCCTGCGCCAGAAGAGCAGGCCCACTTTGCGCCCTGCTCGAAGATGATCTGTTTGCACATCTCTCCGTTTGCCTGGGAGAGCCACCAGGAACAGGCTCAGCTGCCTCAGCATCATCCGCTATAATTTTGTTCTTTCGCATGAGGGCCTTGATGGAGTTTGCCCACGTCTCGTGAATTAACATGTTGGTGATCTGGTCGGTTCCACCTCTCCGATACAAGCAAGAGTCAGATTTGCAGAGACCCGATGAGGAAGTGCTACTGACTGGATGTACACTTAGGAAATCTTGCTGGCTGTTTTGAGTAAAGCCATCTAAGGAGCTGGCTTTGATGGGCGCATTCACCGTTAGCCTGGCACCCAGGGGTCTGCTATCTGGCATGGATGACTGTCTGTAACACAAGGGGGATCGCAGAGAAGGTGACAGTAGGCCAACTGTCCAATCCTGGCTGCTTCGTCTGGAGGACGTGCTGTCCTTGTTTTCTCTTTCGATGTCCCTCAGCATGTACCTGTAGAATTCCTCTGTTATGCTCTCGGTGCTGGACTGCTTAGAGGGACAGCTTGGCCTCACGCTGAGGTGCTCATTTTTACGGCACGCCTGTTGCACGGCTGAGTTCAGGATGCTGCTGGCATTCTTGCCTGCATAGTAATCCAGCAATAACTCAAACCCTCTTCCTTCATTTTCCATCTGGTTCACCATGAACCTGGAAAACTCCTCAGTGATGCTCTCGCAGCTGGACTGCTTGGAGACAGAGCTGGCCCTGCTAACTGGCTGACTTAGGGTACTCATGAAACCCAGGCTATTTACGTAGGCCCTGGCGTTGGAGTCCTCCTCTGGAATGCTTTCACAGCTGGAAGCCTGCAGCCGGTTCCACCTGTCTCCACTGAGTAACCGGTTCCGGGGATAGCTCTGGGCTTGCCAGACGCCGTCCACCACGGAGAACTCTGTTAGGTTCATGATCTTGGCTGCCACTTCGTCTGCAAAAACACTGACCGAATCCGGGATGTCCTCAAGGTTCACGGACTCGTCCACCACCCTGTTCATTAGCTTCTCTTTAAGCTCCGGGTGCTCATCCGTTTTCCTCTTGATCTCGCTGAGCCGTGGTGGTTTGTGCTTCCTCACTGTGGCCCCGCTGGTCTGGCTTTCCTTCTTCCTCTTCAAGGATCGGCAGGATACGTTCGGGGTAACCAGAAACTCATTCTCTCTTTTCCATGCACAAAACCAGGGTTGTTTTCCATTGGAGTTGTCAAGGCAAATTGCTGCGATTTCGGTTGCCATGGAGACGATCATCTCTGCTAATTCTTCCGCAAAGTCTGTAATGCAGTATAGGTCTGCATGTTTTGCCTGTAGCGTGGATTGAGCAGGAAGGGGGAAGTCATTCCCTAACAAAGACAGGTTAACTTGAATTTCACTGTTCAGACGTGAGGTATGATTATACTTCTCCTGGGCGTTTATACGGACACTGTCCTTGGCATCCTGGGAACCTCTGCTGTACTTGCCCACTGTCAGCGTCCTCTCTCTCTCTGAAGAGGCTCTGAACTCATTCTCATTGTAACTGGGTGTCTGATGAGGCTTGTCTGGATCTTCTCCCACTGTTACTTTTAGATCTATTTCCTTGGGGGGTGTTTTAGCAGGTGAAGAATCTGGCCCCCTGGGACTACAGGGCAATTCAGATTGCAGCGTGGGATTCTTGAAGAGGCCTAGCTTTGCTGGGCCCCTCCTATCTTGCTTCAGATAAATGTCATCTAGAAGATCATTGGTAACAAGACTGGTACTCTGTGGATTGCCACCAAGTGGCTGGCCGCTGGAATGTTCAGTGGCTCTTGTCCACGCTAGACTAGCAGTCTGATCAGGTGGCTGGCAGCCTAAGTCCGTTTCCCTCCATCTGATGGTCTCATTAGCAAGGACAGTGGGCCATTCACCAAGCTGTACAAAATGCCTCATCTTCTTGAATGTGAAGCATATCACACTGAAGAGCAGTTGGTTTGTACTTTCCATCAAGGTCTCAAGAGTCTCAGATGAATGTCTGCTAACATTGGGATCACTTGTTCTGTTTCTCTGGAGAGCTTCATCAATGGAATGCTCCAGAATAACATTGGAGAGGGTCTGTGCCAGCTCATTCCTGAGGACGTTTTCTGAGCACAGGGTCTGAGGCTTTGAAGCCGTTTCTAGGATTCTCCCGTTCACTGATTCCATGAGGTCTCCGATGCTGCTGTGGGGGTCGGGCCTTGTTAAAACCAGCGCAGCCTCCTGGAGTAATACCTGTGCGATGGCCTCGCTTCCCAGCTCCATGCTGCTCCCTGTCGCCAAACCGCAGAGTGGGGGGACTGCTGCATGAGCCTCAGTTGCACACGAGAGGCCACCCGGAGCCTTCGCCTCTTCCGATTCGCCGAGGCCACAAACAGCAATGGCGCTCGCCACCTGGGTCATGCCACACAAGGCAGATGGAAAGGAGTATTCGCTGACAGAAGGTTCCTTGAGGACTTGGGATATTTGACTTTGCAGGTGGTCACTGCCTCCCAGTGGACGGGGTGAAACCAAAGATTCTTGCTCCATTTTAAGTCTCTCTGTGGCCTGTGGACTGGAAATAGTTCCAATCACAGTGGCCGCGCAAGCTAACGCAACTTCCAGAGCGCTCTGAGGGTGTCTGCCGGAGTTCTCTCCAGAGAGGACCCCTGAGGTTTCAACAGAGACTTCCATCTCAGGCCACGAGGAGATGCCTGCCTCAGGGGCAGCATCGCTGCCATCTGGACTCTGAACGATGACGATTTTGGGGAGCTCATTCCATGACCGTGGGACCACCATACCTTTTGTGGAACAGCCACTGGGTAGCAGAGCGCTCCCTACAGAAACACCGACTGCAGATTCCTGGGGTGGCGTAGGCTGCGACTGAGATAACCGAATAAACGCATCCTGTAGCACGGATTCTGCTAAATTTGTGGCATACTCCCCAGCGGTGACTTCTCCATCTTGGTGGGGAGGAAGAGAGTTTGTGCCGTCTTCAGGGTCCCCTGGGTCTAAGCTGCTGCCATGCTCAGTGAGGGTACCGTGCACGGAAGGCCCACCTTTCTTAACCATCCCAGGGAAATGAACATCCCCTGGAATATATGGTGCCTGTGACTTTTCCACATGCCCTTTATAACTTTCTGAGTAATAGTAATTTCTGGCTGGCTTCTCATTCTGCAAAGCTTTGCCTGTCCACTCTGATGGCTCGGCTGATGAATCGAGGCTCTGTAAAATGGTGCCTTCTACTTTTTCCAGAGATCCTTCTGCTTTAATCAATGTGGTATGAGATCTGCTAATGCATTTGTCTTCCGAAGGATAAAGCAACTTTTTCTTGTTGTCATTCCATTCCTCCTGAGTGACTTCCTTTGGTTTTTTACTTTCCAAAACATGAGCGGAGGCATTTATATTTTCATAACCTGGTGAAGACAAAATGAGGGCCCACTATTACTTTTTGGATGGCAGGATCTCATGAGTCCAAAATAACAACCACTTTCTAAAAATGCCTTAAAGCATCAGTTTCCCCCTTGCCTTCCGCCCCCCAAAAACAACATTTAGAGTGTTCCTTCAAGACAAATGCATCTGCAAAGGTTTCTGAGTTTCGGTATGGAACCCTGCTCGACAAAATGGCTCTCAACGTGGGATATGAATGTAAGCGCTAGAGTGGGAAAAGAAGGCAGTGGGGAGACAAGTGCTGGTCACCTCTCTCCACCGGAAAAGGACCCCCAAACAATTGCATTTTAGAGCTTCCCAGTGCATACAGAAGGAGGAGGAAGGATGTCTACAGCAACCTCCATAGCAAGCCTTGTTGCAAACATCCGCTCTCAAGTTTGGGTAGGACTTGTCCCAGAGAGTGTCAACAGCATCTGGGATATCCCTTCTTCGGTGGCTAAGGGTGGGGAAGAGGAACACCTTGTTGACTGGACTGTATTGATCAGTCAATCAAAACCATGAATAAATGAGTGCTAAGTACTCTCCCGGGTTACTTCCTTCTGTCCTTCCCAAAATTACAGGCAAGTATCATAAATATATGTAGCTACATAGTGTAACTATAACAGTGTTAGAGGCACTATTGTCCTCCCAAGTAATGGATGAAGAAACTGGGGCTCCAAAGGACTAGGTAATCAGCTCAGGCTTCACAGCCGCAAAGAGGCGGTGCTAGGATTCAGGCCAGTTTAAGTGGGCTCAACTTTAATAGGTAGCTTTATGGAAGTCTTCGGGCAGATAACTTTCCTCCCTGTGATAGTCTTTGTCTCCTGGCGGGTGGGAGGATGTCCTCAGCATCCCCAAGGCATCTTCAGGAAGACGGAGTCACCCAACCATTAGATCTGAGTGCATTAGTCAGCATCCTCACTAGTGTTCCCTTATCCTCTCCTTCCCTCCCTAAACTCAGTAAGTGATGATGGCGATGTGTCAGCCAAACTGATGTGGCCTGAAACTCTCCTGGAATGGAGCTCATTTTCCCAGGGTGACTAATTTCAGGATGCGCATGTGTTTTCTCGGGAACTTCTCACCATTCCTGTATTCTTCCCCCTCAGTTTCCTCCTCCAGGTGCTCCGATGCGGTGAGAAAGTCTTCTTCAATTGAAGACAGGGAACAGTTTGTGTCATCTTCCACCTTCAGGATGTTTGTTTCCAGCTGGAGCTGCCGTTCCTGCACCAGTTCCAGACCGATCAAAAATTTGTTGATTTCAAAGATGATGCAGTTGGTACTGTTTGCCCTGTTCCCTCTCGCACACTGGACCAAGCAGATATCTGGCAGCCAAGGACACTGAAAGTAGAGAGAAAAAGATGCATTTATTGAAAGACAAAATAAAAAAAAAACCCATTGCTTCTGACCTTTCTTCTTCTACTAATCTTCCTTGTTATAAAGAGTGGGGGACATTTAAAATACTTGGTCTATCTTCTGGGCTGAGATTGACGGATTGCTTGAAAAAAAAATTCAAGTGATATTTGGGAACACAGGGTACCTAGGAGAAAGTCTGGCTTAGGGGAAAATAGACCAGCTGTATCACATATTTTTGCTCTCTCCTGTCAAAGCAAAAATTGCATTGGGCAAAGTTAAACAGGTTAAGGAAGACTTTCTTCAGAGCTCTTAAAATAGGAAAAGAAGGGCCAGAACTGAGTTGGACCCCAACTGCACTGAAACAAGAGGCAATAGAGTTTTTAAGAGCTGGTGTCGGAGGCCCGTAGGCCATCTGTGCTTGCTAACTGGCTTTATCCAAAGGAAAAGTAAGTGTACTTGTATCTGCACGGCAAGAGGTAGTTTTGCAAATCGGAGGAAGGATCCTACTAACGTTAGGCTCCCATCCTTCCACCGAGAAAGGGACACTATCCTGTTTGATGATCTTATTTCAGAGACGGTCCCCCGGTCTTTAAAAAGGACACTCCTGGGTTGTAAAACAGGCATGAGACTTTTCAAAATGATTTCCATCTCAAAGGGACAGAGAAATAATTCATAACGAGTTTTCTAAAGTGAATGTTCTAAGAAAAGGGCAGTCAGTGCCTATCAGGAAGAAGCCTGTCTGAAGTCTGGTCAAGCTGAGGGGAATGTTAAGACCGTCTTGGGCACCCTTCTTGATTAAACTGAGTCCCCGTTTCTCAGGCCGGTGTCTTTTTCTGCCTTGGTGATGCTCTAGCCATTATCTACAGTTAGAATTTATAATGTGTATGGCTCATCTGAAGAGGCAGACACAGTGAGATATGAAGCAATCCATTGGAAGTGCACTAATTATCTCTAAAAGGCCAGCATGTGAGGAAAACAGTGATAAGGAGGCTCAAATCATTGGATGGTGTCCCAGTGAGATCTGTTAATTTTGTTCTCTTCTAGCGTTACAGACCATGTCCCTATTCGCCACTACACATTTTCATTATTCATATTGTTGTTCATTAGAAGAGGAATAAAAGTTTCAATTGCTTGTGCGCAGGTTACTAGTAAATTGCAAACATACGTTGTGCATCAGGATTTTTGTTTTTTTAAAAGGAACAATATGTTCATTTATAGTAATTTTCAACAGAAAGTTCTTTGAATGGAAACAAGAGTTAGTGGGCGGGAGGAAGCTAAATAAATTTATATCTCAGTGGAATCTGAAATGTTTGGGGGAAATATTTTATGTCCAAATGTTTGTCTTACAGAAAGGATCATTTAAATCATGTGCTTTCTAGGATCAGAGTTAATTTTGTCATTTTGGAATTCTTGAATGTGGATACATGTGTGTGTGAGGGGTAAGTGTGTGCACACACAGAGAAATACATGTACACCGACATCCATATTGTATTTCTGAAAGTAGTATATATTTTTCAGTCTTTTTGGTTGAATATTATAATTAGAGTAATTCTAGAACAGATGATTGCAAAATGAAAAATCCAACCATTCTCCAAGGGGTCCAGGAGGCTCAGAAATGGAATTGATCTATGTGCTTATGCAATTAGGTCTGTTTTTCAAAGAAGGGGGGTCATAACCTTATTTTTTTTTAGAGTTTATTTGCTTTGAGAGAGATAGAGAGAGAGAGAGAGAGAGAGAGAGAGAGGAGAAGGGGCAGAGAGAGAGGGAGAGAGAATTCCAAGCACAGTCTGCACTGTCAGTTCAGAGCCTGATGCAGGGCTTGATCCAATGAACTGTGAGATCATGACCTGAGCCCAAATCAAGAGCCAGATGCTTAACTGACTGAGCCACCCAGGTGCGCTCTGACCTTACTTTTCAAAGTGTGGGTTGTATGTAGGCCAGCAGCCTTGGCGTGGTTTGGCAGTTTATTAGATGTGTATAATCTCAGGACCTACCTCGGAGGTACTAAATCAGAATCTGCATTTCCCAGAACTCTTTTGGTGATTCCTACATGCCTTAACATTTGAGAAGTAATGGTCTGTAGCTTTTATGGAAGTCACAAAGGGTCTGAGATCCCCCGCAATAATGAGGAACAATTGTTGTAGAGTTAACGGTAGCTGGCGTGATTAATTTTATTTCCACTGAATTCAGACATAATACACTAACTTGAAATTTATAACATACTTTTTGGGTGTGTATTACATGCAAGGTATGCTGGTAGGTACAAACATGAATCAGATAATTCCCCAGGAGGGTGGGACACAATATATTGCCGGTGGATAAGGCATGAATAAAAATAATTACAAAGTGGAACCAAATGAAGTTATTTGTAGGTAAAAATGGCTGCGTATTGGCCATTTCATATCATTCAGATTAAGTACATATGACATAAGGTTTTATATGTTGTTGCAGGAACCAAAAGAGATATTAATGAACAGTTAAATAACACCTCAAAACAAATGTAGAGAAAGACTTGTATTAAAAGTGCAATGTTCCATGGCTATTGCACTCCTAGAAAGAAAACATATTTTCTTAACAAGCTTCTTGCAAGTAAATAAACATCCTGAGAGTCTTAGGGAAATGAAGACCAAACACTATAACCTGCAAAATAATGGCAGGTATTATTATATAATTTTATTGTAGTCTATTAAGTGTTTTGAATATCTTGTTACCTTCAACGCAAACAATATTTCTGTGAGGCTGGTGATGTCTTTGCTCTTTTATAGAGGAGAAATCAGGCACAGAAAGACTTACTGGTCCTTTCAAGTCTACACCAATATAAAGTGGAAAGCCAGCACTGCAATCCAGATCTGTTGGATTCCTGTGTCCTTTCCAATTCTCCCCATGACTTCCTGGCCCAGTCAGCAAAACTCCAATATTAACCACAAATGTGCAAGCTGGAAAGAAGGGTGGTTTGCACCTGGACCTCCTCAAACGCACACATGCTCAGTAAAATTATGTGTTCATCTCATAGAAAGGTCAGCCACAGGAGGAGTAGATCTTATTATTGTACGTAATAAGCATCTCAGAAAAATTTTCTTCTGTAGGAAAATAATTGCTTTTACTTGTACTTTCCACTTAGTATTTTACTTGACCATGGGCATGATGATCTTCTTTAAGAATGTTTTAGAGTCTTAGCCTAAGGCTCTTAAGGATGGCCCGAGGAAGGAAAATGTACCTGTTGTGGCAATTTCTTATTTGTTGCTGGCTGGTATGTATTCATTAGTCTTTTGAGACGCAGGTACCTGGATAGTTGTGCAATGTGTTTATATACATTTAATTGTATCCAAAAGAAATAACATCTGAGAGAATGCCAGACTAAGTAAGTTGCTCTTTGAGAGCAAGATGTCCGACTCATTTACCACTGTATCCTTAACCCCCTATGCTTTGCACTTTTCCAGGTGCGTAGTAAGTATTTGTTGAATGAATGAATAAAGTATTTGATAAATATTTTCTTACATTTTTTCCAGTTGTACAACTGTAAAATAACATAGCAATATAAAAAAGCATGTGAGTCATTTGCTGAGCTGGAAAGATGAAGACATTGAATAATCATTTCGTAATCATCTATGAGAAGATAACAAAACTCCTCAGGAGGCAGAAAAGGCACTCTGTACACAATCCCTTGCAACAATATTACACTTCTCTTCCCCAAAGGAGAATGGATGATTACTCCTGGTGTATATAGTACTCCACCCTGGTACCTTATTTTGCTTTAAATGAAATTTTCTTTCTACTTCACCTTCCTTCAACTTTTTGGACATGGAGAGAAAATACAATTTGCATTTGAATAGTCCTTCCCAAGGTGCCTTCATGTTATTTTATGAAAATCACTGTGACTAGTCTCTGAGAATGGAGAAAAGGTATTTTTTTAAATCTCCATGTTATAGAATAGGAAATTACAGTTGAGAGAAGTGAGGTAATTTGTTATCTGCACCACTGAACATCTTTGGCATTGTAATTTCCAGGGTCAAAGGTGCCAAGCAGCTCGTTTATTGCCTTCTTCACAGGGTCAGTGGGAACAATAGCTATGCCCTTGGGACTGCCCTTAGACTCCCCCCATTAACCCAGCTCATGCTGCCTCCGCCAATATCTCCACGTTTACTTAGGAATCAACAGGTAACTGAATTTCTTGAGGCGAGGCAGCCAAATTGAGACTATCCCTAAAGAATTAGGTACCGGCTATGGTTGGCTAAGATGGGATTCATTATTGATATGCTGCCCCAACATTGCTAATTTATTAAAACACATGGATTGTGGTATCTGAAAAACGATGTAGGCCTTTGGGAGACGGCAGAAGGGTGAAGTGATATATAGGAAGCGATGAGGCCTTTTAGAAGAGGGAAGTAGGAAACATTTAAGAGTGTTATAGCTCACAGACAATTCTTGACGACTCCTAGGAACAAATATGCAGAATTTTAAGCATGCTTTTGATGGATGACATTTAATAAGTCCTGATAATTTAACTTTCCCTAACCCTAATTAGTATCTGTGTTGTTTTTGTGACCCAACGTCACTCAATCTTCTTCTGTTTCTCATAGCCTGTGAAGCATCATTTTCTGGCTCACCCACAATGCCAGTGATTTCCATGGAGTTAATTCACCTAAACCCTCTGAGGTGATCATGTGACCCAGCCTGGCCAATCTGAACACTGCAATCCTCAGGCCATAGTGAGTGGTTGAGAGATAGGCACATGACACATGAGAGCCAATAGAACACAATCAGACTTTTACTGTTAGGCACCTGGGGGGGACATTCACTCTTGCTCAACTTGAACCCAAAGGGAATGGGCTTCTTATGGGAAAAGACTGATAAAGATTAAAGAGAGAGAAAGCCGGAAAGAGGTCACAAGGGGAAATTCATGTCCTGATGGCACTGTTCAAGTCCCTATAATAATCTATCATTAGTTTTTTCTTTTTAAATGTTTTATTTATTTTTAAGACAGAGAGAGACAGAGCATGACTGGGGATGGGGCAGAGAAAGACGGAGACACAGCAACTGAAGCAGGTTCCAGGCTCTGAGCTGTCAGCACAGAGCCCGACACGGGGCTTGAACTCACGAACTGTGAGATCATGACCTGAGCCGAAGCTGGACACTCAACCAACTGAGCCACCCAGGCGCCCCATCTACCCACTAGTTTTTTTAGTTACATTCTTTTCATGCATGAGCCAATTTTCTGTCATGTTTAATTAGAAATCCTAACAGGCTTGGTACAGAAATACTTTTAAAACTCAGTTTTGGAAATTACTTTTGGTCATCATAGTTTTGCTCAATATAAAGAGAAGGCACTTAGGGCCATTTCTGTTTTCTCTTTCCAGATGATTAATTTTCTCACTAAGAATATAAATTATGAGACAGACGGAGAAGTTTGGTTCTAGTCTTTTTTTAAAACAAAATTTTTTTTCAACGTTTATTTATTTTTGGGACAGAGAGAGACAGAGCATGAACGGGGGAGGGGCAGAGAGAGAGGGAGACACAGAATTGGAAACAGGCTCCAGGCTCTGAGCCATCAGCCCAGAGCCCGACGCGGGGCTCGAACTCACGGACCGCGAGATCGTGACCTGGCTGAAGTCGGACGCTTAACTGACTGTGCCACCCAGGCGCCC